ACACCCCTTAGTAAGAGTTTTAAAACTCAGGTGAATAAGGCCGTAATTCCGGTGAGCGAACAGCCCTCTTCGTCTTTACTTACACACCTATTTGGGATGCGGACATTCGCTTCTATTTGGTATTACACTCAGCTTCCGTCAATAAAGGCCCTTACGCATGTGAGTTCTGGCCTGTAAGCTCGGGAGATCTCCCTCGACAGAGGGTGCCCAGTGTTCCTCGGGCGCTAATCCTCGAATTCCTTTTCCTGACCGCATCCCTCATAGGGGACTGTAAAATCAGTCAACAACACAGGTCGGCTACGATCTCCCCGAGAGATTGGTCACGTATTGCGACGACTAAAGTGATATCGTCAGATCAGCGACTGAGGATGTGAGCGGACAGGTTGAATGCTAGGCCTCGAGGCACTATTGGCTCAACTTTCCTCGTGGCTGGCGACCCAAATGTCGCAATTGCGCTCGGGAGTTTTATTGGTCAATTCCAAGAATCTTTGTTGTCGTGAGCCTAGCAAGTTATTGAGTTTCATAATAAACACCAGTGAGGTTTCGTGATTGGCGAAATCTGCGTGGGAGCAATATGTATAGATTGAGCCATTTCAACCCGGATTGATGCAAAAAATGCACGCGTAGCGAGAAACGAATCCACAATTCGACGTCAAAACAACACTACCTACGAATCCGATCTTATGAAAGAGTGTTAATCTCATTGAAAAGAAAGATGCTGGCTTAATCAACAACTGTTGCTCTTTTGTTGTACAATCATTCCCGATCGTGTACATAAGCAAGGGGGCAAAATTTAAGGGATCTTCTACCAAATGCGAGAGGAAAAAAATTCAGCAAGCATAAAATTTATACAAATACAATAAATTTTAACTTTGTCTGGCCCTGCGGAGTTGAATCTGGTGGCGTAGAAAAGACAGCCGAAGCAAAAGTTCGTCGACATGTTTGGCGGGGGGTTCTAGCGGAAGAGGAGGACGAAGCAATCCAAGGCATGGATGATGCCCGATGTGCGAGAGGCACTAAAATGAAGGCAAAAGGATAGGTAACGAATGGTGAACTTTTAAAGCAATTATTAGAAAGTGGGTAACATTTGGAGGTTGGCATTGCCGCACTTTCAACCTTCCAAGGAACTAGAAACTTGATGGTTGGTTGATTGAGTCATCCAAACCGAGATCAGTGAATATCATCTGAGGCTGTGAAAGAACCGTCAGCCGCCTTTGCAGTGGTCGCTGGACAGAGTTGACACAAACAGATCCTCAAAAATGTATAACAGTTGGATTTGATGACCGCCAAGTTTGTCGAGATTTTGCAGAAGCACCACCAATATGAAAGAACAGCGTACTTCATCGATAGTACATTTTGTGAGGGACACCAAAAAAGGACAACTGGCGATCATAACAGAATTTAGTATTCAGTAGTAGTATACAGACAGATGATTTAGAACCCTATGGTCACTGAATTTTCACCACCGGAAGAAGCTATGGGCTAAGATTAATGAAAGTATTCCCTATCACTTGATGTGCCGAAGTTTGAGCACTAAGTCATCCGTTATGCGTAAATTGCCGAACGGGGTTCCGGGATTGTTTGAATTTGGCTTTGACGGCACCTGGGGACGTGAAGGCTAGTCCCAACAGGGGGACGGCACACCTAGAGGCAGATCAGGCTGCGGTATTCAACTGGACGGTGTCCCGCCTCCGGTCTTCTTGACTTGCTCGTGACACCGGGCCTAGGTGGGGAAGGAGTGAGTGCGGTAGATGCAGCGCAGGTCTATGACCACTA